CACCCTCAAGTCGCTTTCGACAATTATGATATATTTTACATTTTACACCTTAGAGAAATCGAAATCATTTTTATTTCAAGTTAGTCAGACTATATGATAACTATTTTGGCCTTTTGAAGCGTTTCCTCGGAAGGAGTTCCGTTGTCGTTTGGCGATCGCTATTACAGCTAACTTCGTCAACTATCACACTCCAGGAGAAGCTCAAGTGGAGGAAATTAGCGGTGTGGCCAGCATCTTCAATCAACAGTTCTTTGCCAGTCTTTCGGCTACCAAAGGTATTGATCTCGAGAATATCTGCTACTATCGGGACGAAACGCATTACTTCGTTATGACTGCAAAGAAACATAGCCTCCTCGTAAAGGGTGTATTTAAGAAGGTCAGTTTTCCGTTTATAGTTTGATTTTTCTCTTTTTATTTCTGCCTATTTTGGACACCTGAGTGAAATAATTTTAGGCATACAAAAATCTCCGCATATTTTCTAGTGTTATTTTGGACTTATTTTTATTTAGAAGTTTAATCTGGTTTTCTCAATCCAGTCGTGCTGTCAAGGTGACCTAAGTGAACGCATCTTGTCCTAATTACTCTGCTATGGTTATGGTAATTTCCAATGTAGAACTGTGGGCTTGGTACATTCCCAGAAGTTTTGCCAGCATCGTCATTGAGTCTGGCCATTCTCTGCACCAATCAAAACGCGTCAGTGACGAGTGATATCCATTACCTGACCAACTTTCTGCCAAGCGTTTCTTTCCTAGAATGAGACAGCGACCAAAACAGAGGCCGCAACATCTTGGTCTTCATATATACGATTTAATTTTGATTTAATCTATATGTAATAAAGAGACTCATCGATTTTACTAAAAGACGAGGGATGATTACATTTAGTTTGCTTTCATTGAAATGTTCCGATTGACACAGTCCTTCAGACGCTCTTTTCTGTTCTGACTAAAACTTACTGAGCTTTCATTCATATGACAGACATACTTAAGGCTGTATCTGATTTTTATAACAGCTCTAAGTCGAAATGAGTTACTTAAAATGTTTTCCCCGTACTTTCGAGACTGCCATTGTCTCTTTTACTTTTTAGTTGTTCTAATAATGATTTATAGCTCTGATTATTCTTTTACTACGAAAGACGGAAGCTCTTCCAATTTTCATCGTAAAAGAGGGAAAGTGTCTTGAGGATTGCCAGCGCGG